CACATTATAACGCCCCCACGGCTAAAAGGGCGAGCATATTCACGAATGGACCACGCTAGACCATAAAGTCATGGGTCCACAAGTAATTTTGTGCATATATACTTTTGACAAATGCGTTTTAAAAGCCAAGTCAGTAGGGTCTATTTGAAACCCACTGGTAATTCTAAGGCTTAAGATTTACGAATAGAATTAAGGTTAAAGCATGAAAGAACATTAAGGTGCGAATGCCAAACTTCTAAAGTAACCTGCGTTTTTCTGAAAAAATCAAATGTCGTCATAAACCTGTTCAACCACATGGACGAAGTCTGTCTATTTTCAAATTAGGAAATCCCCTTGTGGTACAGCGGTTATCTACAGAGCTTATAATGTTAAAATTCGGGGTTTGATCCTCGTGGCAGAAACAACACAGATGGTCAGTCCATTTATTACAGTTTTACAAACAAACACGATTGGATGTCAGCTTGTTAGTAGGTTGTTATTTCGAAAATGAGTAAATTAGTCTGGTCTGTAGAATCTCACGAAGCTTTAGAGCGTTAAAAACAGTTTTATTTATGTTATTTACAACCAGAGCTGTTGTTTAGCGAAGACTGCGTGCTATTTAAAAAGAGAAGAAAAAAAAAGATAACGGGTGGGAGGGAGGAAACAAACCACATTTAACAATTAGAGGTCCACCGCTCTGCCTTTACAATTGTTATCAAAACCGGATGATAGTCTATAAAGGAGGTCAGACCATACGACGCCTTAACTAGTAATACCAACTGTTAGAAGATTGGAATTTGTTTTACAACCTTGAGCTGTGTTGTTGTTGTATTTTTTGTTGGTTTGTTTCTTGAGATAATTATTATTCAACACTTGCAAAGTAAAGAATCTTTAAAATCCATATACGTTCATGAAGGTTTTACTTTTGTCATGTTATCATTCGTACCTATATAACTAAAAGAGTAGCGCGTGTGTGTACGTGGGAAGCTTTTTAAACTTCTTTAAACTATGCAAAAATGAAATTACGAGCAGGATAGTACGGATGACGTCACCATATGCGTTCGGGAGAGATGGGTGTAGATAGTACTATGTATCGCAAAGGGAAAGGTATTTATGGAATGGGTCTGTCATCCCTCAGAGCCCCCATCTCAGACGGCAGTGTATGTGTGTATGAATTTGTCCATTTTTTTTTATAGACACTTAAGAGTACCGGGATCTTGTTGAGTTTTAATACTTGCACCTGATATCCAGGTTTTGAAAGCGTCGCTACATCTGGTGTCTCTTATCAGATAAGTCGCTCGGTTTGTCACTTTTAATCAGACCATTCGGCTCAATGTGTGTTTTTTGTACTAGAGGTGTCTGATAGGTATCACGTGTTATAAAATAGGTTTAACCTCGCATTCATTGAGACGCCCCACACGGCCGTAAAATTTGTTCAAAACTCTACATGAGTAGTCTAGGCAGATCACTTAACTGTTTTAATTACTTTAAATACATAGCACTGCCGATACCTTGTATAAGTTTTGTACTTTCGAATATAAAATATTATAATCACAAAATTGCTTTGTACTCGAAGCACGAGTTTCCCCTATCCCACATTAATTCAGCTTGTAGCTTTGTATGTATATATGTATGTATTTCCAACAAACTCCTCGCACAGTTTTGGAACTAGCATGCGGACTCGGAGTGGCTTGTGAGGAGAGGGGTGTCTTCAGCTATATGGTGTAGCCCCCTTACAAAGGGAAGCTAAAATGTGTCCAGCCATGATGAGGAAGGGTCTAAGAATAGGTTTTTAAAGTCGCTGAACTGAATATGCTTCGGAGTTGTTGTTCCTACCTCTCAGAATCCCAGAGGCGCCATGTTTGAAACTGTGTTCATACACCGACTTACAAGCTAGCGGGACCAAACTTCACATACGTGCTTAGGTACCACATATGGATGACTTAATGTTTTGTTGTTGTTGTCGTTTTTTAAGGTATGGACCCCCTTGGAGTAGCTAAAGAAGTATTTGAGCTTAATGGAGGAGCTTTATGAGTACACCGGAACCTCTGTGAATCATGAGAGGAGGGGACCTTTGAATCCTGCAGCGGGTATTTTATACTAGTTTTCTGAATTAGTGACGGTGTACAAATAGCCACATGTACCTTTGCGCTAAAACAAACAGTGAATTAATGAAAACAATGGTGTATTAACTTCAATACTTGGATTAGTTTTCAGCATCACATACGAAATAACTTTAAGGATAATTAATATTAATATTGTAACCTTTCTTTTGAAGAGTAAGTGTACCTGAAGGAAGGAGGGATACTTTTTGTAAAAAACTGAAAAAGGTTTGATGTAGATATATAGTAAGACTGCTATGTATATAGATCAAATTTATATGAATAAACAAGTGGACAAACGGTTTGACTCTGGCGGGCATTTCAATATTACCATTTTAATGATACGAATGAGGGCCATATGTGAGGGTGACGTCAGACAAAAGTGATATTTAATGCCGTGCGTAGCATGGGCACCTATGCATCGGTCAGATGTTTAGTGTGCTACGGCTCAAAATGTTGGAATGGGGTGGCCCACGCCCCCAATTACTACTTATAAAACTAATTCATCCTCAACGTTCCTAAAACTAATCCATCGTTTACAGCTAATTAATGCCGTAGAAAACAATAATTACAGTTCACAACTTGAACCGCCGAGTATTCAATGTGTAGCGAACCAGGTTATGTATTGGAAGGTCCAAGGTTCAAGATGCGATAACAATAAACACGCTCCGCACTTTGCTGTAGACACGTTATAAAAGTAACAGTCAATCTTGTTATTCGGTTAAAAGATTCTAATACAGCCCATACGGCGGCAGGTGCTGCTGGCTAGTTGCCTTCACCTGTAGAGGTTTCTGGCCTGTCCCTTTAGTCCATGCGCCGCAAGAGATGGCGTTGCAGGAGTATTTAGTTCTGTTTCTTATTTTCCATGTTCTTTTCAACTTTGATCTTTTTTTTTATTTAGTTTTACTTCAAACAAAATAACTGTCTTCATATCCTAACTTCTGTTTTTAAAGACACTTGATAAACAATCAATAAAATATCACGGATACGGGCGACTGTGGACTATGTCAGCGTATTTTTTTGTTTGTTTTTCCTGACCTCTTCAAAAAAAAGAATGGCAAAGACCAGGGACACAATACTGTAGAATAATAAAGATTTAAACCTCGATTTCTCTTCTTGTTTTATCAGAAACAGCAGCCAACAAAAGTCAAGAAAGCGAACAAAGTCCGTATCGTTCACTTACCGTTATCAAGGACAAATTTCGAAACGTCCTTTACATTGAAGTATTTTATTCTCCATCTCTGTGTTATTTATCAGTTCTTCAAGTTACCAACTCCGAATTCCGAATGGGATGATTATACCAGTATTCTACAACTTATGTATTACAATGATTTAATTATTATAGGTGGCTTAGTTCGTTTCTTCATTGAGCTGTTGCCTTCCTCCCGGTGGCTAATCGGTAAGTCCGAGGAATTCTGACGCTAAAAATCAGGCTTCGATACCCGTGATAAGCAGAGCACAGATACCTCTTTGTGCTTAACAACAACAACAAATCGCTGACCTTTACCACACCTTATACAAAGAGACTAAACATCGAGATCAGCAACCTCTGTGGTTTTAAGTATAATCGTTCATAATGTTCAACTGGGAAGGAACCTAATGACTGATATGTTACTTTTATTATAGTTAGTAATTGAGCACGAAGACGAGGTTCAGGTCAAAAGCATCTCAACTTTTTGTGTGTGTGAAGTGAAATAGACTATGAAAAAAAAACTTATTTGTGAATCCTGGTTTATTTTTCACAACCTCACAACAGACCATTCATATATTTTTACTTGTGTAGTTGACACTAGAGGGAGACGCTGTCTTTTTTCTGAACTGAAATGGAATGCGAAAACAAATTGTTTATTATTCCAAGTTGATTTTTGATAATAAATACTTGATAGTACGTGTTATACACTTCCGTTATAAATACTTGACAGTACGTGTTATACACTTCAGTTATAAATACTTGACAGTACGTGTTATACACTTCCGTTATAAATACTTGACAGTACGTGTTATACACTTCCGTTATAAATACTTGACAGTACGTGTTATACACTTCCGTTATAAATACTTGATTATACGTGTTATACACTTCCGTTATAAATACTTGACAGTACGTGTTATACACTTCCGTTATAAATACTTGACAGTACGTGTTATACACTTCAGTTATAAATACTTGACAGTACGTGTTATACACTTCCGTTATAAATACTTGACAGTACGTGTTATACACTTCAGTTATAAATACTTGACAGTACGTGTTATACACTTCCGTTATAAATACTTGACAGTACGTGTTATACACTTCAGTTATAAATACTTGACAGTACGTGTTATACACTTCCGTTATAAATACCTGACAGTACGTGTTATACACTTCCGTTATAAATACTTGATAGTACGTGTTATACACTTCCGTTATAAATACTTGACAGTACGTGTTATACACTTCCGTTATAAATACTTGACAGTACATGTTATACACTTCCGTTATAAATGACTGAACAAGTGGTATTGTAAAGGCATTTCAAGACATTCCATTCAAGCTCTGTTAAAAGTCATTAGCTCCCAGTGGCACAGCGGTACGTCTGCGGACTTACAACGCTAGAAACCGGGTTTCGATACCCGTGGTGGGCAGAGCACAGATAGCCCTTTGTGATTAATTAAAACAAATTACAAATCCCTCGATAGAAGTTTGCTTCGTCAACCAGATAACTTCAAAGTTCCGCTGGGCACATGTACCCTCTTGCCCACTCAGGAGACCTGTATTGATTTAAAATGCTCAGTTTCGATTCAAATATTACATAATGCCTTTAACAGTTCCTGTCCCACAGTTTATTAAATCTAAACAGCGAAGCAACACTTCGTAACGTCTATGAGTCACTCCTGCGCCAGCGCATGCAGGGAGCGATATTTCATAAATTGACTCGCAGAGAACTGTGGGTGGTGACCACTGAAAATAACATGGCTGCTGAAGACTGCGAGCTGTGAAGCTCTATGTGAGTTTTTATCGTGTTTTTTTTTTTTTACATGACCCTTTTACCTTGCCCTCACTTTGTTTTCTTCCGTATTTATTTATTGATTCGAATAAGTTATGCTCTTTCCTTATGCTAATTTATTTGTCGTGAACTTGTTACTGTCAGTATGTAAAGCTATTTAGCGAACAGCTTCTAAAACTTATTGCAAAGCGGTCGGTATTGATGTCCCACTTACGCATATCTCTTGTGCTACACGACTCTCCGTTACGTTAACTCTGGTATCGGGGCCATGGATTGCGTGTATCATCTCACCAGCGTGATGAAAATTTTAATTTACGTTTTCAGGGCCAGAGCGAAGGAGTGTTTTTCTTCTTCGTTTTTCTTCCTTGCGCTCCGAACAGAATTGAAGTTTTGGTGAACTTCAACAGATTTTGTGATTCTCGCGAGGCTGTACGACTTTAGAAGATCTCGAAAATTAAACAATCGTCTTGTAAGTTGTAACGTATAACAATAAGGGAGATTTTTTTTTTTTTTCCAATTTAGCTGGCGATAAACTATTGTGTGTGTAAACAGCAACGCCAAAAAAACAGAAACGTATGGGTTCGTTTTATATCTGGAAAGGAAGGGATACGTATTATACGAGTTTTTATTCACGTAGTTATATGATATAAATGATTAGGTCACGAAGAGTTTTAAAAATAAAGCTGCTTGAATGTAACACCATATAAAGAAACGTATGGGTTCGTTTTATATCTGGAAAGGAAGGGATACGTATTGTAAGAGTTTTTATTCACGTAGTTATATGATATAAATGATTAGGTCACGAAGAGTTTTAAAAATAAAGCTGCTTGAATGTAACACCATATAAAGAAAATGCGTGGCTCTTTGTATGGATAATTCTTAGTAAAGCCTTGAAATAATTACATTTATTATAAACCATTTTTTTCAAGGAGAAGTTGTGAACGTATATATAATATACAACATAGATTTTTTTTGCAAGTTTCAAAATTTCGCTAGTCCTCATTTCAACGTTAAAGCAATATAAATATGTATGTTTATATCTTTGTATACACTTGTTTTTTTTGTTTTTTTTTGGAAAACAGTATTTATGCCCTTAATATTTTAAGAACTATCATTTACATTGTTTTGTTGAAAAATTAATAACTGTAAAATATGCAAGTTAAATCAAGTTATCGCTGTAGACATTTTTTGTACATAACTCACTATATAAGTATTTTTTAATGTAAATTAAGCTACTTTGAATGGGAAATCAGCTTGCTGGGAGGGATGTAAATTTGCACGGCAGATTTTCTGCGAAGTTCGTTGAGAATCATGTCCTGAGATATGTATGACTACTTGTAAGAACAATCATTAATCATTTACATTTTCATCTTTTCTTGAGCAACGGAAGAGAAATCACATACCAGGATAATTAACGTTTTCCAGAAGTAAAACGTCATGGTTTAAGGTTTCTTTCCAGTTTTATGAAGAGAGGGGGAGAGATATTCTCGGTAGTTTTTTATATATCTGTTTTCTGAATGATGAAGGTACTATAATATGCATTTCTTTCTTTGCAAGTCTTGCAGAGACAGCATGAAATAGCACTATCTTAGTGATATTCCTAAGAATCAGAAATTCTGTTAAACATGATAAATATGTGACTTAGCAGTTTTGTTTCACATTATGCGGGTGTGCTATTAGCTCATCTTACACTGCACATTGAAAGTAGTTCATTAATTCAACACTAGGTGGTGCTGTTTAAACATACAACAATTTTCAAAATAGCTAGAAACTGTGAAATTCTGTGTTTGTGAACCAGTTATAGACGGGCTTAATAAAACTCTTTAATCATACATCCCATTAAGTCATTAACAGAACTACTGTAAGAAAGACATTTCTATGTAAGTGTAATCTCGTACACTATGTCTTATTTGTCACATTTAACATGTCAAGATGCTTTTGTACAGTGACTGAATTTGATGACACCCAACTAGATAGCATGATTATTTTCGTGATTTCCCCATTGTCTACTGACAGAAAGAATATTGATGAATTAATAAATCAACTTATAAGTATATCTTTTCTTGAAAGTGGTTAAATATTTAAGGTAAATCGTTTCATTTGAAACGGAATGGAAGTCCCTAATTTTCTGGTTACTTACATACTTTTGTTTTCGGCAAGAGAAGCACGTGTTTTTCTCTGTTGTAAGAAACTGATGGTAATGAATACTCGGTATTCTGTTTTCAACGATCTTTCTATTGACCTTAGTAACCAGTTGTGGTTACTCATTAATGTGCTTACAGTAATGACTCCACTATCACATTTAAGATATTATCTCATACTTTTTACAAGAACTATATATTTTTTCCTGTTGTATTTACTATTGTTTGAGCTACATGTTCTTGCTTATGGAGAGATGAGACCCTCACTCTGTTCACTTATAAAGAAATTACTTTAAAATAATTTTGATAGAAACCTTTTATATTGTAAGATGGTAGGGATCCTCATGATTCCTAACTTATGTTTGTTAATAACTATAAATTTTTGTAAGATTTTTATTTTTTTAGTATATTTCTGGAAATATACTGATAATTTCTGATTATCTGGGATGAAAATGTGGCTTTCCAATTCAATGTTTTAGTTTTCCAATTGCAGTTCATCTAATAGTTTTAACTTAATTTTGTGTTTAAAACATTTCAATATTCCCTGAAAATCAACCAGGTGTGGCCTAGTGGTTAGCATCCCCAAACAGTGAATCCGAGGATTTTTGGTTTGCATTCTGTTGCCATGAAAAAAACTCTGCAATTTGAATACTCTGATTTATCAGACAAGTATCCCAATATTTATGATGGGTGTTGTTGACTAGCTGCCTTCCCTGTAGCTAACCAGTTCAGAATGAGAGATGACTTTGTATAGATCGACCACGTGTAGCTTTGCAAAAAATTTTGAAACAAACAAAGTTATCTCGAAAACGTACTAATGGTCAAATTTATGACAGAATGTTAAGCATTTCAAAGTATATAACTTCCCAGACTTTTTATGTGCATTTATTAGCAGTTAGTGTTTTCTATATGCCCCTATCAGTGGCTAGTATTTTCTATGTGCACCTATTAGCAGCTAGTGTTTTATAGGTGCACCTATTAGCAACTAGTGTTTTCTATGTGCACCTATTAGCAACTAGTGTTTTCTATGTGCACCTATTAGCAGCTAGAGTTTTATAGGTGCACCTATTAGCAGCTAGTGTTTTATATGTGCACCTATTAGCAGCTAGAGTTTTATAGGTGCACCTATTAGCAGCTAGAGTTTTATAGGTGCACTTATTAGCAGCTAGTGATTTTATGTGCATCTATTAACAGCTAGTGTTTTCTATGTGCACCTATTAGTGGCTAGTGTTTTCTATGTGCACCTATTAGCAACTAGTGTTTTCTATGTGCACCTATTAGTAGCTAGTGTTTTCTATGTACACCTATTAGTGGCTAGTGTTATATATGTGCATTTGTTAGTTCCATAAGACAGCATTTTTACTATGTGATGGATTCAAAAGCTTAGTTTGCCAAACTTATGTTAATCATCAGAAATTTGTCTGTATTTTAGCAGTGGTGGTAAGTAATAGAGGTCAACATAGAATTTAATGACCTGGTGGTTTTGTGGTACCTTTTAAGTAGATATTGTGTAGTATTTCCATATCAGTTCTGTAGTTCTAACTATGTTTGCTACATTTGATAAAAGATGTGTGTTTTATAGTAGTGGTACAGATATGTTTGAAGTTTAGCAGCTTTCTAGGCATTTAGGTGAGAGACTGAACATTTATAGCATATGTATATACTTTATTTTATCTACCTGTATGAAGGTTTGTGACTTAGCTTATTACTAAACAGGGGAATAATTATAATAAAAGTGGGGGGGGGGTGATTGCTATGTACTCTGTAAGATCCTACCTTGTAGCTCTTGGCAGTTGATTCTCCTCTGTCAACTGCTATTGCTGTTGGAAATAAAGTGAGGGGAGCATACCCCCAAAGTAAAATATACCTTTCCTAATAAAATGTTCTTTCAAAAGAAAAGATTTAGTCATAAGAGTTAAAGTTCCATTCATAATATGATTTAATGTAGGACGTTTAGAAAATATTAGACATTCAGTAATAGGATTCATCATTTCATACACTGTCTCAAAACATACACCTTTCTCAACAGTACAGGTACATGTATGATTTTAAACCCTATAGTGAACATTTGTAAATAAGAAACTCTCAACAGTACAGGTACATGTCTGATTTTAAACCTATAGTGAACATTTGTAAATAAGAAACTCTCAACAGTACAGGTACATGTATGATTTTAAACGCTATAGTGAACATTTGTAAATAAGAAACTCTCAACAGTACAGGTGCGTGTATGATTTTAAACCATATAGTGAACATTTGTAAACAAGGAACGTACATGTATGTAAATTTTGTATGTGAACTAAAGCCAGAAGTATGAAGACACACTGTTTAATAAGTCTGTACGTGTAGAACATAACCATTAAGTTTGATCATTACAAAGATTTTATCTTGAATGTAATGTCTAAAACTATGGGTGGAAAAAGAGTAATGAAATTCATTTATAGGTGTTTCATGTCTAATGAGTAAAAGTCTTTGTTTGTCATGGTGTTTTTAGGGTGAGCACTTTAAAGTCAGGGTGAAAGTATTTTGCAGCGAATGAACAATTAAAGAACTCTTCATGCCCCACCATACTTCCCTAATGCTTGTTGAGGCAATGGTTAGGGACCCTGAAAGAATGCATGAATTTGTAAAGTGGTATCTCAGCTGCATAAAGTGAAGAGAAAAATAACCCATAAATTTAATGTGTTATCGTTAGGTTAAAGTTACTCTCTGAAGAAATATAAAAAATTAGTTTCCCTGTATGTTAAAATCATCTTTGGATACATGAACATTTAATTGTTAAAACTAGTATCTAGTGATATGGATTGGTAGTAGTCTAGGAAAAGAAATCTCTTTGATCTTATGTGTTCAGAATGTTTT